GACTTAATGATTTTTCAACTTCACAATGGTGCAAAAGAAACACATTCAATAGAAGGAATGCTCTGAGAGCCTATAAAACAATTCTGTTTTCACTTTTAGTACAATATTCAATGAATTATATCAAATATTCAACAACTGACTATAAAATCGGCTTTGTGTGAGATGATTTTGCCCAACTGAAGGCTGATGTAATGAGCTCCGGGCATTATGAATGGTCTCAGCTCTGCCCACATTTGAAGCAAAGGCCATCCATCCTTGCTGTATGGTCATGATGAACTTTGTGGAGTTGTGTGGTGTCCTAGGCCTTTGGGGGAGGCAGAAGAAAAAAGTGATGACCTAGGATATCTGGGAGAAGAAATACCTATCCAGGAAAGCATTCGAGGTGCTGACTGCCTACTTTGGCTGCTTAAAGTAAAATGAAAGAAAAGAGAAGTGATTTAAAGAGCAATGATTTAAAATTGGAACTTATCATTTACAAGGAAGTAGAATGGAAAAATATGGAAACTCAGTTGGGCCATATAAAGATTAAAAAGCGCATTTGGGAGGAAATGCTAAGGGTGTGTGTGGCCAAGTGACCATTTGCTAGAGATTAACATGGATAGAAGACAGCCAGGTTCTATTCATCAAGACAATTTGAGAATGACCCACAAGGCATTTCAGAGAAATCCAGGGCAAACTAGAACCTTGAGAAGAAGGTGTCTGGGGAGGTCCTCCCTTGTGGGACCCCGGCATTCACAAGGCTGAGCTGCCTTGGCACTCTGCTCCTTGAACTCTGGGGTAGCACCCCTTGGCTGCTCAAGTGGGCCCAAGTGTGGTTTGCCACTTTAGAAGGTACAAGCCGTAAGTCTACACAATGTCCACACACAGCTAATTCTGCAGGCACACAGAACTTAAGAGTTATGTGACCACGGCAGCTTCCATCTAGATTTCAAAGGATGTTGTGAATAGGAGCTTGGGAGCCTAGGCAAAGATTTGTCACAGAGGCAAAGCCACTGTCCAGGGAGTCCCCACAAGGACAAGGGCTAGTGGGGCCAGGGGTATGGGGCAGCCCTAAAACCACAGAAGGATCGGGTCACCGGTGTGCAGCTCCAGCCTGAGGAAGCTGTGGGCATAAGGCTCCAAACTGAGAAAGCCACTGTGTGGACTGAGCCCAGCGAAGCTGCAGGGGCAGGGCTCCTGTAGCGGCCCAGCTCTGCCCCCTGTGCAATCTTATGCCTGTCCCTCCACCGTATTCTGGAAGTTCACAGACTCACAGCTGGAGGAAATCTGTGTCTAGATGAATGTGCCTTGAGCCCCACTCATATCTGATTTAGATAAAAAGCTGAACTTGGGACTTTCGAATTCTTGGAACAAATTAAGACTTTGGGAATTATTGTGAGAAAATAAATGTGTTTAACATGTGAGGAGGACCTGATGGGCCGGTGTGATGGTTTGAATATGCCCCCCAAAGTTCATGTGCTGGGCACTGAATCCCCAGTGCAGCAGCGTGGAGAGGTGGGGCCTTTACGAGGGGCCTTGGTCCTGTCTTCGGGAATGGTGTTTGCTACTGAGAGTGGGTTTGTTATAAAAGCAAGTCCAGTCCTCTCTTGCCACCTCTTGTGCACATTTTTGCTGTGTGATGTCTTCTGCCTTATTATGATGTAGCGAAAAAGCCCTCATGGGCGCGTCCTCTGTCTCCGACACCCCAGCCTCCAGAACTGTGACCCAAATAAACTGCTGTTGTTTGTAAATTACTCAGCACGTGGTATTCTGTTACAGCAGAAGAAAGTAGTAAGTCCCTTTACACCAATACCTTATAAATCTCTATCTTTAGCCATATAGTGTCATATCACACAGAAAAAAGAACACGGGCTTTAACAAAGTTAGGTTCTTTAACTCTGGAACTTCTAAAGACTTATTGAAAATAACTCTTTTGACTTTACAAATTAAAAAACCCAGGGGAGAGAAGTCAGATTAATTACCTACCCTGTTACTAAACTGGACGTGATCAAAATTACCAGGAGAGTGCTCAGTCCAAAAGAGAACAGATTTCAACACATCTTTGTTAAAATATTCTTCAGAATGTCTTGTTAGGCAAGGGTGTTAAAAGAAACAGATATTCTGAACAAGTACTAAGGGGTTGATAGTTACCTAATATTGGCTTTTCATAATTTACTCAATTATTTTCCAAATAATTATTTAATTGTCCACTAAGTACATATTTGGTACAGCAGAATAAAACAAAAAAAAGATCGGTGTGTCAGAATAACCTGGCCTTTCAAACAGCAACAGAGTCTTTTAAGACGACGCACTTCCTTAGAGGACACCAAAGTGTGTCTGAAATGGCAACAGCCTGGTGGAAATGAGTCTTCAGAGATGGCAAAGGACTGCAGAAGAGCTTTCTGTCCAGGCTTCGCTTTCCTGTGGTGCTTTGAGTATAACAGATGGATCTTCACAATTAGCATCACATTTGCATTTTTCTCTCCACCAAAAAAAAAAAAAAAAAGAGCTAATAATCTTAGAATGAGAATTCAAAAGCGTCATTCCATCATGTTTTTATTGATTTTATTTATAATTTGTATGCCAAGTCTTCTTTATGATACTTATTACCTCCAACACTCTCCCAGGAGAGGAACAAAGTTACAAATGAGGAAAGAAGCAGAACAGGTAGTTACTCAGCAGCACGAACTGGAAAATGATTTCAGTACTAAAACTGACTGGAAGGCCCTGGTAAAGTAGAAGAAATATGGGGATTCACAAACTGCTTGAAGCCCATCAACACGATTCCCCCCAACAAAAAAAGCCTGTTATCTTTCACACACGTTTCTGTGAGACACCAGTCCTTTCCTGTGCTCTGTAACTCCCACCACTCAGAACCATTGACTTTAAAGGTGCTATGAAATAAATGAAATCGTAACAAGTTAGCCCACCAGCAGCTCTCCTGGCCTGCAGCAGGAGACAGTACTAGCCACCTCTACAGAGCAGAGAAGGCTGGGTCTGTGCAAACAAGGATCAGGCCCTACCCAGGAGGTAACAGGGCGTATTACGATCTCAGCAATCTTCAAAGCTTCCCTATAAGGCTGAGATCATCCTCATTTTGTAGAAAGAGAAGCTAAGACTTCGGGAAGTAAAGCATCTTGCTCAGAGCACCCCACTAAAGTAGTAAATCCGGGATGTTCATTCAGGTCCTGTCCAACAGCAAACTTCATGATGTAACTAGCATGCTATTTTGACCCATCAACTCTATGTAATAAATTTGCTCTGGTAAAGGTTTTTCTTTGATTTATCTGCACCCAATCCTCTGAAATTGATAACATAATTGCAAGTCACCTGAATGGGGATTAGGAGTGTAATCAATAACCACAAACCAGAGAAGACAAACTCATCTACAAGGAGCTGGACCCTTGACCTTACATTCCCAAGGGCTGCATTCTAACCAGGTCTGTTAATTAGCCACAGACGAAATGAATAAATTAGAGGCCAAATCCTTTCCAACCACAAATCTGGGCTGACCCTCTATAGAAGCACAGAGTGAATATGTACTCTTATTGGGTTTTTTCCCCCCTTTTTTCACATCAGATGGGCAATGTGCCCATCATAATAAGGTTTGAGGGATAACAAGTTACCTCTCACACCTGAGTGTGAAAACCCAGTGATCACACTCGCAAAGCACAAAGGACCACATGCATGGACAGTGAGTGTGTTCCATTTCGTATAGTGCAGAACCTCAGTGTATCTTGAAACAGATGAAATTATGATGAAAAAAATAATTTTTAAAATTTTCTTTTGCAGAAATATTGCCTTTCCTTTTTTGCATCTTTTTCTGCTTTGAAACTGATATATCCAACCTGGGAATCAGGGTCTTTAAAAGCAATCCTGGTCAAACTATCAAATTTTCATCAGATTCACTAAACTCTATCCCACAGGGAAAATCAGACCTGACCTTCTGACCTTCTCGAGTTTGAGAGAACACAGGGCCTCACATTTTGTGTTGTAAATGAAAAACAGTAACACCACACATGTATACCCTATACGTTCTGCAAGCCCAGACAGCCAGGAAGAAGAAACTCCTCCCCTCGCCTCTCACTGCTAGACTCAGGCCTCTACAGCGATGCACTGAGCTCACTCTGCACACGGGGCTCAGTCTCACCAGAGCCAAGGCCAGTCAAGGGCTGACTGAGTTTTTGCAGTGCAGGAGAGGAACAGAAAAGGAACAAGAAAAGAGAAATACATCCTCTGCCTGGTTCTCCACCTTCCATAAACCACTTTTTTTTTTTTTTTTTTTTTTGGAGACAGAGTCTTACTCTTTGCCTTAAGTAGAGTGATACGGCATCATAACTCATAGCAACCGCAAACTCCTGGGCTCAAGTGATCCTCTTGCCTCAGCCTCCCTAGTAGCTGGGACTACAGGCACCCACCACACCACCTGATGAATTTTTCTATTTTTAGGAGAGACAGGGTCTTGCTCTTGCTTAGGCTGGTCTCAAACTCCTGAGCTCAAGCAAGCCACCAGCCTCGGCTTTCCAGAGTGCTGGGATTACAAGTATGCCAGACTGGGCCTGGCCGACCCTCCATAAACTATTGTTAATTTTAGAAGGGCTGGAAAGTGAGATGTAACATAAGGAGAAGGACAAAGGCAAGAGAAGGGCACTCATCTGGGGTGCTCTTCCATCCCTCCTCCCTCAGTCCACACTCTCTTATCTTCGTCCTATTCCCTTGACCCAGAAGATTTGTGCCACTCTATCCCTAAGCTCCTACTCTCCTTCACTGTAACCCGGCCTAGGCCCCAGCAATCACACATTCAGAACTGTGGAGTCCCATCTGGCTTCTCAGGAGTGGTGGGAGGGCACCTATCTCGAACCTGCAGAGTCTCAGCAAGAGCAGATTGGTCAGCTGCCTTTAAATTCAGAAGCCTGACTTTTCAGAGAAATAAAGTTCTTTAGCAAAAATGCAACTTTATAAAGTTCTTGAAGAACTTTATTTCTATGAAAAGTAGATGGCTACCTTTGACAGCACTGTTACTCAGGGTACATTCTGAGTTAAGTAGGATTTCGTCTGCTGGCCTTAGATCCTAAATATTACAAGATAACGTTCTGGTTCCAAACAACATTGGGCACCCAACCTGCTTCTGGGCAGGAATCTGGCCCACACGTCATCATGCACATCCATCCATCAGGCAGAAAAATGGGGAAATGTACCAAACGGAGATGTGTACTTTGAACAATGTTATCCAAAGAATTTGGCCCATTAATGAAATTCTGTTATTATGAAAAGAAAGAGCAGGCACTAAACCCAACAGAAATTCCTCACTCATTCCAGGATGTTTACTTTCATTTTCTGTAAATAGTGCACAATTTAATGTACAGAACTGCCATAATCATGTCTGGTGGTAATTCCAGATTTAGATATGAAAAAGTCTCATTAAGAGAAATCACATAGCTGTAATTCTTTTTAATGGAATTTTTGGTTGTTCAAACCATCATTCATGAGGGAACTCTAAATTTAGAAAGGCGAAATATTTTTTTAATTTACTGAGGTTAATCCAAGAAGATCATTTGGAAATATTTTAAATGCCTATGATAGAAATCATTTGCTGGAAGGATATAATGAATTCCTTCATGTGTTTATTTCAGGACAAAAATAAGAATAATACTCTTTTTTTAAGCGGGAAAAAAACTAATAAGATTAGATGTGCAGTGGAAGGAACTTGAGGGGCATTTGGCCAGTGGGGACCTGGCCCAGCAACGCAAGCAGATGTAGTATGAGCGATCTGACCTGGGAAACTGACCCCCGTGCTGTCAGAGCTTCTCAAACTGCCTCGACCATGGAGACGCAAAAACGGAAACTTATTTCCAGTTTTTAGCTTTAATGGAACCGAAGGGGGTGCTACTCACCACACAGTGCAAGGGAGTTTCCTTGTCTTTGTTTTTCTTTTTTTGAGACAGAGTCTCATTTTGTTGCCCTCAGTAGAGTGCTATGAAATCACAGCTCACAGCAAACTCCAACTCTTGGGCTTAGGTGACTCTCTTGCCTCAGCTTCTTGAGTAGCTGGGACTATAGGTGCTCACCACAACACCCAGCTATAAGGGAGTTTTCAATTGCATTTCACGCCTGTAGCATTTACAGATACAGAAGTCCAGATCCACTGGAAGCTGAGCCTCTGGACTGAATGACCAGTGATACTCCTTACTGTGTTTAGTGACCATTACTCTGACATATGCACTAAACACATATATGTTTGAAATGCAGTTTAATAGCAAATCAAAGACATTACCAACTAGTCCTAAATCTAGCAAATTAATAACAGTAATTTTTACTTACACAGTGATAAAGGGTTAGAATTATAATCTGTATTTCCTAATATGTCCTGGTCAAGAGTGTGAATGAACGTGGAATCAATTAGGAATTATGAAAAAATAGTGGTATGTGGGCGGTGCCTGTGGCTCAAGGAGTAGGGCACCAGCCCCATATACCAGAGGTGGCGGGTTCTAACCCAGCCCTGGCCAAAAACTGCAAAAAAAAAAAAAAAAAAGTAGTGGTGGTGTGCCCAGCAACTCACGAATGGATTAACAAGTTGTGGTATATGTGCACCATGGAGTACTATTCAGCCATAAGAAAAGACGGAGACTTCACATCTTCTGTGTTTACCTGGATGGAGCTGAAACACGTTCTTCTTAGTAAGGCTACCCCAAGAATGGAAAAACAGTATCCAATGTACTCAATACATTCCTATGACACCAATATATAAACAACTACATGCCCACACAAAAGAAAAACACAAGTACATTCTAATGGGGGAGGAGGGGAGGGAGACGGAGGGTGACTGGCAGGATCTCACCTAATGTGCACAGCGTGAGGGTGAAGGGCTGAACTACAACTTGAACTTTACCTTAGAAATGAAAACAATGTAACCTAAACATGTGTGCTCTTATATTAATCTGAAATAAAAATAAATAAATAAATATTTGGATTACATAGTCAAAAAACAAAAAAAAATTAGCCAGGCATTGCGGCATGCTCTTGTAGTCCTAGCTACTCAGAAGGCTGAGGCAGGAAGATTACTTGAGCCCAGGAGTTTGGGGTTGAGTTATGATGAGACCACTGTACTCTAACCTGGGCAACAGAGACATTGTCTTAAGAAAAACAACCACAGATCACCATTCTTTACAATGTCCCTGTCGCTGGCATATGAAAGTTACTTAAAAAATACTGTTGAATGAGCAAATAAAAGAATATGACCTGGAATAAAAAAATATGATTAACAATCTAAGCCGGGCATGGTGGCTCACGCCTATAATCCTAGCACTCTGGGAGGTGGAGGTGGCCTGAGCTCATGACTTTGAGACCAGCCTGAGCCAGGGCCAGAGCAAGACCTAGTCTCTCAAAAGAATAGCCAGGCGTTGTGGTGAGCACCTGTAGTCCCAGCTACTTGGGAGACTGAGGCAAGAGAATCACGTAAGCCTAAGAGTTTGAGGTTGCTATGAGCTGTGATGCCACAGCACTCTACCGAGGGTGACAAACTGAAACTATGTCTCAAAAACTTAAAAAATTAAAAAAGAAAACACCAATCTAATGGAAATCACAGTGATTTTAAAAATACTGATATTTGAAAGGTCATCTACATATTAGCATCCTCAATTACCATAAATTTGCCATGTAGAGTTTTGTTCTAACTCACACTTATAAGGTATAGTACTTTATTTTTACTACCCAGAAGACAGCTGGGATCCAAACACCAGTTACTGGCTTGTCACCGCCGTCCCCACCCCCAGAAATGTGGGCCAGAGCTGAAGTAGAAATAGTCAGGGTTTTTTTCCCAGTGATGAGCTCCACTTTGTTTGGTTCCTTATTTATTTAGCAAAGAGGGGGTCTAAAAATAGTTTTCAGAAACAACGGAAAAAAAATTTTTTTTCGTATTACTGGTAAAAAACAAAAAACTTCTGTTTTATTCTGCAGCAATTAAGATATTGGGTGATCTGCAATGATAAAAAGAAAAAACATCAATGGTATTATGATTTTATTATAAGTAAATTTTCTTCCAAATTTGGTGTATGCTTTGCAATTTATGAAGATCAAGATTGATTAATCACTGATAATCTTTCCTGAGAAACAACAAGCCTGTATTCAACTTATGATATAACCCAGTCAAAGACAGAAAATTGCAAAAAGCCACTATTCTCAACGCTGGCACTATTTTACAGTATTAAATGAACTTGTTTTCTGAATGTATGTTATTCACAAGATTAAAGTAGTGCATTTGGAAGGTACGTAAAAGGTGTTTCTCACCAAGCTCGACATCGTGATGACAGCTAAAGTCCTCACATGTTCTCTGTTAGCACACACCTCTACTCTGATATTATCTTTTCAGTAAGTCTCATAAGTAGGGTTGATCCAAATAGGTTTTATTTTCCTGTTTTTTTAAAGCTTTATTGAGTTACACGCTTAACTACTATTCCTGAAGATTCAAGTACATATTCAAATAATTTCTGTTAAATATTAGGGAAAAAATTCTAAGTTTAGCAATAAAACTACAGAAAGCAGACATGTAAAGCTACAAGGAGTGTATGTGTGTGGTGCTCTTTTGAAAATAGACAAGCTTAAGTAATATTTCTGGATCAAGGCTGTGGACTGAATCAACATGTACTTCATTGAGCCCCCAGGGGACCCCTGCACATTAAAG